TGTTTCATCCTTTGGTTCCACTGCTTATCATGTAACTAGCTTAAGTCTGAATGTGTGTCTCGTTTTCCATATGGTTCCTTGTGATCATGTCATTACTATACCCATATCCCTCCCTTTCTTTAAGTCTGATATGTCTCCAGTTCCTTCTGAGACTTTAGTCCTTATGTGCTCATGATTTGCTGATCCTCCCCTGACCTGTTTGTTGTCACTATGCTCTCATTATGTGCTCAAACCTGCCTCTCCTGCTACTTGAGTGTTATGTAATCCTAACCCTATAATCTGTGCTATTATTGTGACAACTATGTGACAATTATGTGATAAGTATAGCTCCATTTAAGTGCTAATATCAAAGTTATCTGTCCCCGATCCCTTACCCCTGTTTGTGTTTGCTCTTTCATCAGTTCTTTACCTGCTGGCTATCGTTGTATTGCTTCTCTCTGTGATAAAAAATATTTTACCAAAATCTTTCATCATTTTCTAAAATCATCTTTTCAAGGCTGTTGTCTCAATTACTCTTTTCAAACTTGAAATTCTCTTTAAACTCTTCTTCCCGCACTTCACACTATTCTTAGACTCTAGGCTCTGCCCCCTTTGAGTGAGCACTGCCTTGGGGACCTCTGAGTACCCACTGAACTCTGCCACTCAAGGCTGGCCTTCTACACTGCACTTACTCATTCTTGGCTAGGGTGCCTGGGTGTGAGCACTGTCCAGGATCTTCTGAGATCCTTAGAGACTATGACACACTTGGGTTGTAAGGCCATGGCATATGGCAAGTGGATTTGGTACTTTGGGCCTACTTTTAGGCTTTCTATAGTATAGCTTCTTGATTTTCCTTTTATTCAGTTGCGTAATTCAGCAATTTTGGTCTGTAATAATTATTTGTAAAACACTTCAGGGCTGGATAGTGAAAAGGGTGGGGATGATGCATGCTTATCATAGTTTTGGGTAGAAAACATGCTTTAGGATTTACTTCACCTCTGTGCGCAATAGAGATCCTGCATAGGACATGTTTGCATTAGATATCTCCTTAGGTCTATTCATGTATGCATATCATCACATCCGTGTTCATTTAAGGATCCACGTTAGATATTAATGGTGTTAACTACATGCTTCATCAGAAATAGCACTAAATAACTTCTTCTTTTGAAACAATACTCTCTCCGCATGCATAACTCGCATGTAGATATCTTGTTCTTAGGTGTACTGTCGGATCTATTTTCAGCATGTCTACCCTTTTTAATCTGGGCTAAGTACTCAATAAAACGCCTAGGCAAACCTTAGGCCTAACGTTTGCTAAAATCAATCAAAAACATAACTCGATTAGTTATGCACCGCCCGTTCAAAAACAAAAAAAAATGGATTTTCAAACTAATCAGTCATATTTCTGGAATTCATTAAGACTTGCTGTTTGCCACTGTTTTTCACCTCTAGAATTCATGTTGAGGTTCTGAATCTGAGACCTTTATTGCTGTTTTAAACGTGCTACTTACATGACTTACTTGTGGAGGGATATTTGAGCCATATAACTATTTATGTGTACCCCATCTGTGCAAGTCCTAACTGTTTCTCTACTTGTCGTTTAGGATTTTATCCTTTAAAACCTAGGGGTTCAGTCTAGTACTCACCTCATAGGATTAGTAGTCCTAAACACCCTCCGGGACTTATAGGACGGGACGGGTAATAGTACGTAACAAGCCTCGTGACCAACTCACGCATTTTCAAACTAACTTTTACGGGGTGGGCGGGTAGAATATGGATATGATGACCACGCGATAACACTACGTGTATAAACGATTACCGGGTGTTGTGTGGGGTGATCCATATTATGTATAAACCTAGGACTCCCCTCCCTTTATGTGTTTTCTTACTTGTTTTCTCTATAAGTTATTTAAATCCTTTTTTTTCACGAAATCCTACATTATCTTTTTCTCAAATGAGTTTAAACTTGTGTGAAAGTCCCTTTCTATTTGAGCCCTTAATTGCCTACTTGATTATGTGAAGTCACAATATAACATGGCCGGGAACCACACTAGTGGATCTTGAGGGGTGCCTAACACCTTCCCCTCGGGATAATTTCTAGCCCTTACCCGAACTCTGGTTTTCACTCTAAAAAACCCTTAGTGTCCTAATGCACTTAATCATTAGGCGGCGACTCTTCAAATCTAAAAACCCAATTCCCAAATGGGAATAGAGTTGTCCTCCCAAATGTCGTAAACCCGATTTCGCGAGAAAAAGGGGGCGTCGACAACGTATTTGGAGGAAAGTGAGTTGTTTATGCTTATTCACATAGAGTCATTGTTGAGCACGTCTGATCCACTTGTACTTGTTTTTCACCTTCTTCGTCGTCATAAAAAATTGCTGGTGAAGAAGTGCGTGTCATCTCTGAAAGAAGAAGATCTGAAGGGAAAGAAAGTATTCGTCAGGGTTGATCTGAATGTTCCGTTGGATCACAACCATAACATCACCGATGACGCCAGAATCAAAGCCTCTGTTGATACCATTCAGTATTTGATGAAATGTGGCTCTCATGTTATTCTTGCCTCCCATCTTGTAAGCTTTAGCTTTGCTATAGCTGTTACAAACCAAGTCCCTTTTTTAGCTTACCTCGTCTAGCTAGTTTAATATAACAAAGCTTTGCTCGTATGCGTTGGATGCAACTAATTCCCATTTATTGATGTTATCGTTGATTTGTTGGTATATGTCGCAGAGTTGGTCCTTTTTCCGGTTTCTAAATTTTCCTTCTCTCTTCAATGCATTGGATAGCTTTTTTTTTTCTTTTTGGTCAAATTAGCCTCAAGGTCTTCTGGATTGGAGTTTTTTTGTGGGCATAGTAGGGTCAGCCGAAAAAAATGTTCTTAGCAACTTACATATGCATATATGACATAACCATCTGTAAATTTTGTTTTATTATGGCTTCGCTTCTCTCTTATCTGGTGGTTTCCTATCACCTCTTTCACTATCTTCTGACCATAATTTTTCAATTTTCTTTGTTAGTTTCTCTGCCTTTTCCTCGCCCAACCCTCATTATACCCTTGAAATTAATCTAAACCTTTTGTGATAATTCCACATTTTCTTCGTTAATTTATTTTCACCATCTACAGTTTCTAAATTTTATCTAATTTTTTTTTCTCTGTATCTGCTTTTTGATCATCTGAATTGTTGGTTCCAGGGTCATCCATTAGCTAAAGATCCAAACTACAGCTTGAAATTACTTGTGCCAAGACTATCAGAGCCATTGGGAGTTACGGTCTGTTTTTGTTCTGTTTCTCATTTCTTGTTATTGTTTCCTCTAGCTGTCTAACGAGAGGCTATCCTACTCCAATTTTGCTTATAGGTCGAGATGGCGAATGATTGTATTGGTCAAGTCGTTGAGGATATGGTTTCTAATATGCCATCAGGAGGGGTTCTTGTACTAGAAAATCTGAGATTCCATCATGAAGTGGTCCAGAATGATCCAGAGTTTGCAAAGCAGCTGGCCTCTCTTGCCGATTTGTATGTCAATGATTGCGTTAGGAATGCATATAAACCATACGCTTCCACCGAAAGAGTTGTTGATTACTTGAAACCAGCCGTTGCTGGACTCCAAATGAAAAAGGTACGGATTATGAATTTTTGACTGTGAAATTGTGACCATCTTAATACACGTGATCCTGCTCTATCATCGTTTGGTAGAAACATAATAACTTTTTGTAGAAATATTTCAAATGAAAACAGTTTGAAGCGTTGCAAACTAGACTCGTTCACATACCTTTTTATAGATTGTGAGTTATGTATGTTTAGAGTTAGGCCTGGTGCGTGCCCATTTGAAACTTTAGTCCATCGTATAGTTTCCAACTTAGCTTGACCTCCCCTAAATCCTACATCACTTCAAATTTACCTAGTACATTCATTAATCATATTCAATAGATATCTTTCATATTATTAGCCCTAGTTTGCACACAAATCAATGTAATAGCACACGTCAAACTTCTTAATGGCTTTTAAACATTTCAAAAATTTCCAGGTTGTTACAACTTACAAAAATATACGAAGAAAATTTTATAAGGTAGGGAATAAGTGTTCACTGAAAATTAGCTCTGCTGTGTAGAACACAATTGAATGTTTAATTTGGTGGTTAAAACAGTTTCTTTATTTGTCTTGCAACTCTTTTAGTGCTTCGTCGGTCGCTTAATTTTTGTATTCTGTTGTTGCTTGATGCTTTTAGGAACTTCACTATCTTTTTGAAGATGTATCATATCCAGATACGCCATTTGTTGGCATTGTTGGTGGTTCAAAACTTTCCGCTAAGATTGGTGTGATAGATAACCTTTTAGATAAGAGGGTAAACCACTTACTCCTTGGCGGAGGTCTGATCTTTACTTTCTTCAAGGCCCAAGAGGGATCTGTTGGATCCTCACTTGTGGAGGAGGACATGCTTGGTCCAGCGGAATCACTTTATATGAAGGCAGCTAGAAGAGGTGTAGAAATACTGTTTCCTGCTGATATAGTAGCAGCAAACTGGATTGCGGCTTGTGCTGAGGTTAAGGTAAAATGTTTTTGGCAATGCTATCTTGTTCTACTTGTAGCAACTGTCTTGACCTTTGCTGACTGGTCCTATTTTCCCTTGGCCTTTTAGGATGATATTGATCCATTTGAAATTCCAGATAACTGGATCGGAGTGGATATTGGACGAAAAACTATCGATCGCTATAGCCAAGTACTAGACTCCGCCAAAACTATCATTTGGAGTGGACCTATGGGACTGTACAAGATTGAAAAATTTTCTACTGGAACGAAGGTATAAATGAAGATCTTGTTTATTTTCACCATGAGCTAGGTGCCAACAGGATTATTCTTCTTGTGTAATTTGAAGATAGTCTAGTTTTGTTAGTTGGTATTTTGCATTTATAATTTTTTTGGGTATATACTATCCAGGCTATTGCAGAAAAATTGGCAGGACTTGGAGGACGTGGAGTAAAAACAATCATAGCGGGTGCCGATACTGTCGCTGCTATTAAAAAGATGGGGCTTGCGGAGAAGATGACCCACATTTCAATGGGAGAGTATGCCTGCTTGCAGCTTTTGGAGGGAATACCACTTCCTGCGATGCTTGCACTTGATGATGACCCTGTTGAGAAGGTGGTGCCCGAAGATGAGTCGGATGATGATCATTGTTGAGAAGGTGGTGCCCGAAGATGAGTCGGATGATGATCATGGGTGGTGATCGAACTGTTAGAAGTGTATGCTGGTCTCTCATTATATGGTGGCAGTACTGGGCACGGGGTACTTTACTTTTTGATAAAAATACATATCCCTTGTTAGTAGCTTTGGTTACTTACCGGTTACTTAGTTTTTTTAGTCGCATCTTATAATTGCTTGAGATTATCATCTCTTATTTTATTTCTATCAAATGTGTAATGAAGTTGTGTGTTCACAGTAAGTAAGATGTTTCAACCTGTCACATGTCTAGACTATAAGTCTAGAAAGTTGATAGCTCTCATTGTAGTGATCTGTTCGGTTACAGTGTTGGCTCATACCTGGAGTATCTCTTGGAGTAGAGCATAAGGAGGGCATTATATGGCAAAAGAGCAATTGAGAAATATGAAAATTGGCCAGTTGAAAGAGGCAGTATATATCTGCTAGAGGTAGAATCATTACTAATTGTAAAGATAGCTTGCTTGGCAATGTCATGAACTAATACCCCCTACCAATGAAGGTTAAGAGCAGACTGGACATATTATGAAGAGATCTCATTTTTCCTAAAAGAAAAGATCGGAAGAGATATTCCATAGGATGTGGCGCAAGAAAGCATGTTTTTCCCCTAAGTTGCTCGGATTTGGGTGCGGGTATTCGATCCAGGTGCGGATCTAGAGGTTAGATCCTTCATAATCTAAATTTTAAGATTTGAGGGTACGGATCGAGGTATGGCTACGGTTAAAGGGATTGGGCTAAAATAGTTCAAAATTTTAAAAATAGATATATAAAAAAAATATCCTAAACTATATGAAATATTTTGTGAAAAACTTATAGGTTGTGGAGTGCAGTAAATAATTCAATCTTTTATTTTGAGAATCTCTCAAGTTGTATGCACTAGTCATTAGTAGGCTGCATCTAAAATTCAATCTTTTACTTTTGCTCAAATTTATCCATGGATTGTGGTTAAAGTACTCGATTTCAATTTACCACACCCTTGCTAGTACTAGTATCGTTTCTACAAGAATCCACGTAAGATAGACCTAACCTTTAGATAGTTGGAACAAACTCATACTGCCAAAGAAGATGATGGCCTTGGCATAAAAGAATGGGTATACATAACAAGTATGATCTATTATTCAAGTAGCAGTTGATTCAGCAAACTATGCAGAACTATGGGAAAAAGGTATGGAACAAATACTGAATGCTAAATCCTTCATCAAGGTACTGTGTGGTTAATCCTTAGACACAAAAACATAATATATCATAATATAGCGTAAGTATGTCAAACAACAGAGGGAAGCAGTGGGAGATCTTCATATACCAAATTTAGTTCTATGTTGGTGTGGGAGAAACTAAGCCTTTGGCCTAATGAATGGGTGGAGACTAACATTTAAGGAGGAATTTACTGACCTGTTCAACTTTGCCATGAATACTGATGAAGAAGTTGCATCTCATAAATCATATTATGGTTGAGAACTAGCAATTTGAATAATTATTAAGAATGAAGGGTAGAAATAATATCACAACTATTGAATAGATTCGAAGGGGCACACATCACACAAGAGATGCCTGTTTCTATTAAGCAGAATGGAAAATTGTTAGTTTTTTTTGATAATATGGATAGTTATATTATGTAAAGACTAGAAATTGTTCTTGGTACATACGCTTTGAAAGTAAATCTTGTCACAACTTGGTGAGCCAATGTTTGTGACATTTTGGTTTCCTAGAAGTTTTAGTCTATTACATGCCACAATGTCTAGTGATTTCTTGTAAAGGTGAACAACATTCAGATCCTTAGCTAGCTGTGGGGTTACAAAACGAGGAGGTGTTGGATGTAGTTTAGTTGTCTCCTTGCATGGTTTCCAAAATGTATCCTTACATGCATCTGTTGCCAAAAGGTGTGCTACTTGATTTCTTTCACGGAAGTTATGCCGTAGGAACAGAAAAATTGTTAGTTAAAATTAGCCTAAGTTGATGTATTGTCACTTCCCTGGCCTTGAAAATCTAATAGGACGAAAAGCTTTAATTGGATTGCAACCCATGGTGCTTGCTTAACTTTTGCAAAAGAGGGATTTCGGTATTAGTAGCAGAAGATGTAGATCACCCTATCTTGCCCTTTTTCTTTGGGTAACTTGTGCGAAAAGAATAAGAGGTACTTTGAAGGAAAGGAGAAATCCAGACACAAGTTGAAACTAAAGTGCTTGTTTTTTCGGTTTTGTCTGGGAAATAATGAGTGTACATCTATGAAGGTACTGAGTTTTTGCTTGTTCATGTTTGCACCCGCTTGGTGCAACTTCTCATCTATCGATCGATGTTATAAAAAAAATGACAATATTTCAAGGAAGAAACAAGAGAGAAACAAAAAACATATATATTTTGGTAGGATATAAATAAATTTTAAAATACTTTCACCAAATATGACAAAATCATGGACAAGTGGAATCTCAGTTGCAGCTCAAGAATACTAGTATTTGCAAAGAATAAGTAGAATTGCCCTTGCTATGAAGGTATGAGCTTAGTCATCATAGATGTTGATTCAGTACTGCACGAAAGTTGATGACGTCCAATCTTACACCTCTAAATGAAGCGTAGCACGATCCTTAACAATAATAAACCCAACAAGGTTGGGGTCGAATATCACAAGGAGTAGGTGTGTGTTAGAGTGTCCAAATGTGTATAAACTTGATGATTCTTAATGTAATCTTTTCAAAAGGAGTGGATGTTCAATTACTTCTAAAGTTACTTCTAGAATGACCACAAAAACTAGTTTAGGAATTTTATCAAACACTTAGAATGCTAGTAAAATGTAGTTGTAACAAACAAGGGATAGGATTGCTCCCCCTTCGTGTAGGCTATGCTTTTGGGTATACAAATGTTCAATTCTAGATAATTAAGCATGTGTTATGACCTCAATATCTATTCTACCAACTTAATATCTTCCAACACTTAAGAAGTTTCTATTCCAAGACAACTGAGGCTCAATGATAGCAATTGATTAGCCCAAGCAGAAATCACACTATTCTTAGCTAGATTTTGTTAGTCAAATGGTTAACCCAATTAATTCCTTGCTAATTATCTTGTACCTATGCTAAGTGTGAGCACGTGATTTTTGCCCTATATGAATTACTCCCATAATTTCAAACAAAATAATTTTTTTTCATTATTTGCAATTTTGTGGATTTTGTGACATTTTATGTCAATTGTTTGCATTTTGTTTGTGCATTTTAATTAATAAAAAATACAAAAATACTTGGCATTTGCATTTAGGGTTTAATTTCACATTTTAGGTTTAATTAGTAATTAAATTACTTTAAAAATAAAGAAAATAACAAAAATGGTTCTTTTGCATTTTTGCTTTTAATTTGTCTTAGTTTGCTTTTAAATTAGGAATTAGTTTATTTGGAAATCAATTAGTATAAGTTTAGAGTTAATTTGGGTCTTTTACGTTTAATCTTGCATTTAATCAGAAAATATATATATAAAAAAAGAGGGGAAAAGAAGGAAAGGAAAACCAACAAAAGAATTTTCATTAATTGAATTGAAAATGCAAGAAAAGGCATCAGACTACCAAAAATCAAGCCCAATCTCGCCCTGAAACCGGACCAAAATGCCCAGCCCAATTGTATTACCCAGTCCGGTCCAGCAAATGACCAAAACGACGTCGTTTCTGTAGAATAAATCTGAGCCGTCTAGGTTCTTTTGATCGAACGGTCAGGAACTGATTTCCCCATGGTATAAATATGTCCTAACGCTACCCTACCCCCTCAGACCCCCCTTACCCTCTCATCTCTCTCATCTCTCATCAGAGACTCGTAACGCCGCCTCCCTCCGCCCTAGACCGCCGCCGGAAATCGCCGCACGGCGGCGGCCGGTCTCCAAATAACCCCAAATTTACACCTCATGCTCCTCTCCTCCTCCCCTTTTCATATTCATGTCCAATTTCCCTCAAAAATTACCCGAACTCCTCGAATGTCCAAAACCCTAAACATCGTCTCCGCCGCCCACGGTGGCGCCACCCCCAAACCTTACCGGATTAACATCAGGGCCCCTCCTCACTTCTCTCGTTCCGAATCATCAGTACCCTTCACATCATCCCAAATCTTCTCCAATTTCAAATCGAAGAAGCGGCAGAACCCTAGAATTCAAATTCCTTGATCTCTGCACATCCTTTTGAGGTTTCGAGTCGAAATCCATTCTTGGTTCAAACCTAGGTGAGTTTCTCCTCTTTCCTTGTTATTTGAAATTCACTGATTTTTAAGAAAAGGTCTTCTGATTAATTCATGTTGCATTGGTATTATTTGTTTGGCAGTGATTATTGTTCTCAATCTTGAGTTAGTTTGTTTTAGGGTTCTATGTTGATTTGAATCCCATGGTTGGTAATTGCTTTTGTCACAGCTTGACTGGTTTCGTTCATATTCTTAGATATAAGTAGCTTCATTTTGTTATTTGATTTTTGTTTGAATTGTTGAACTTAGTTGGATTTAATTTCCATGTTCTGATTAGTTGGTATGAATGGTTAGTTCAATTTTAGGATTTGTTTAGATTTAGCTGAACCTTTAGTCCCTGTTGAGTACTTAACCGTGGTTAATTGACCAAGGTAAGAGGGATGGGGTTAATTGAGATAAGACTAGTAATTTCAAATTGAGTTCAGGGGTAGTTTGGGTATTTAGAATTGGGCAGAAATGCTGTAGGTTAAGCTAGAACACCCTAGACTCTTCTAGAACAGGGCCTTAGTTATAATTTCAGAAGTTTAGGGCAATAACTTGAGAAGCAAGTCGAAACATTAAGGGCTATTGAATAAAAGCTGAAAATAAAAAGAGGGGGAAAATGGGTAATGAAATCTAGAAGCTTCCCCTTGATTTTCTGCCTATAAAAGGCACCCCCCTTACCTTCTTTTACAAGTTTTGAACACCTGAAAATTCCCCAAAAGGTTTCAGCATCTAAAATTCCCCCCAAAAAAAAGTTTTCTGCAAGTCTTAGGA